AAGCTTTGTGCTCGGCCATGTATAATACATCAAAATTTAACAAGACTGCTATATTTATGACCTGAAACAATGCAATATATGTACATTCATAATAATAGATTTGTGTGAAAGTAAAATATGAGGCAGATATTAGCACATTTCATCATTGGGGCAAAAATAAATTTACTAATAATGAAAATACTTTTCAAGTTAATTGATTACATTAAGCATTGCAATATTTAGATGTATATGTATTTTACATGTATTGCATTGTGTATATTGTTGCAGAATATATATTTTTAAAAATGTTAACACATACTAATACGTAACTAATACATGCTCATTTGCACGCATTTCTGGTCAGGTTTAATGAATTATAAATGTGTTATTATTGTATTGTATTAAATTGTATTCTACTACTACTACTACTACTACTACTACTACTAAGAAGAAGAAGAAGAAGAAGAAGAAGAAGAACAATATTATTATTAATAATACATACAATAATAATATCAATAATAAATATATTAATATTAATATTATTATTAATAATAATAACGATATATTAGTATAATAATAGTAATATAAATAATAATATTAATAATAATAATAATAATAATTATTATTATTATTATTATTATTATTATTATTATTATTGCTATTATTATTATAATATTATATTATTATTATTATTATTATTAGTATTGCTGCTGTTGTTATCATTGTCATAATGATAATAATAATTATTGTTGTTTTTGTTGTTGTCATTGCTATTATTATTATTATTACTATTATCATTATTTTTTAGCTGTTGTCATTATTATTATTATTATTGTTGTTGTTGTTATCATTATTGTCATAATAATAATAATAATGATAATAATTAATAATAATAATTTTTATTATTATTATTATTATTATTATTATTATCGTTGATTTTGTTGTTGTTCTTAATGTTATCATTGCTTTTATTATTATTATTATTATTATTATCATTATTATTATTCCTAATTATTTAGTTAATGTTATCATTATTGTCATTATTATTATTATTGATGTTTTATTATTATTCTTATTATTATTATTAATTCTTTATTTTCATTTCGTCTTAGTCCCTTTATTAATCTGGGGTCGCCACAGTGGAATGACCCAGCGACCTTCTTGCTGTGAGGTGAACTTGCTATCCACTGCGCCACCACGTCGCCCATTATTATTATTTTTACTATTTAGAGTCAACCGTTTTTTCCAGAAGAGATTTATTTATTAGTTCTTATTTTAAAAAAATTAATAAATAAATACTATGAACTGCCAGAAAAAGTAGAATAAAATGAGGTATATACTCTAGTAAATTACATATGAACATATCCCTGGGCAAAAACAACAGAATATAAATATGAATAAAACTGTGAAGTCTGGTGTGTGTACGATTTATGACTCAGTGCAGGAGAAAAAAAAAACAGCCTTTAAAATTACACTTTGTAATTTAACAAAATTGATAAGGTGCAACAAAACAGACATTTTAAAGGGCTTTCTTGGATGTTTTCTTGCCTTTAGACTGAAAAAAAAAAACACAAATCTCAAAATTGACAGGTGCATAAAAAAGGTGTTTTTGCATGCAGTGTCTCGCCTTCAGACAAAAATAAACACACACATACACACACACATTCTGCTACTGACAGCTGACATCATGTCTGCTGTATGATGTATTTATTAAAGGACTGGTGCAATATAAGGTTGGCTTACGCTCAGAGTACTGGATGGTGCGAGTGACGGTGTTTCCGGTGGCGAAGCTGGTTATAGGAGCGAGGCTGACCTCATATGACAGAGGAATACGCAGCTCCGTCAGCGTGTAGGACATCAACACACCTTTTGCAGGCTCTTTAGTGGTGATCTGTTTGGACAAAACTGTCTGTCGATTCTGCAAACACAAGAGAGAAAAAGAGGTAAAAATATTCTGATGGAAATGGAGTTAATTATCATTTATACCTGTTTTAAGATGTGTATATATATATATATATATATATATATATATATATATATATATATATATATATATATATATATATATATATAAAATAAATAAATAAATAAACAAACAAATAAACAAATACATTAATTAATTAGATAATAAATTATTTTAATTTTTTTAATGTATACATTTATTTATTCTTTTGTTCATTTATTTTTATTTATTTTTATTTTATTTTTTATATATATATATATATTTTTTTTTTAAATGTTATATTTAAAAAAATACATTTAAGACATATTTGAAATATTTCAATAAATATATTTAAAAATATATCATACGTATTTTATTTGCGATAGAAATGCTTACATTTTCAAAGCGCAAGTTTAAATGTCACAATTATCGATCAAAAATACAATAAAACTGTAATTTTGCGACATACAGTGGTCACCATTTTTCTCAGAAAACATATTTGTGAAATGTTTTGACAAAATTTGTGACAATTATACCTTGTATGGATGGGGGGGGGTTGTATATGTTTTTTTTTCTTTCCTTTTTTATTGTTATTATTATTATTTGACTTTTCCTAATTGTTAAAGAAAAGTAATGATATTCTTGTTATGTATATTGTCAATAAACATACTGATTAAATAAAAGAAAACATATTTTTAAAGGTGCTGTTGACTGAGGTGATGTTGATAACAACCAAAGAAATCCATATATGCAAAGAAAACAAATCTAACTAGTTTAAAAATGAAGTTATGCGCAATAACTTATGTTATGGCAAAGGGAAAAAGTATTGAACACATGAAGAAAGGGATATGTAGACAGCAGCTGAAATCTCTCAGTAGTTCTTCAGCAACCGTCTGCCCTTCCTCAGTATAAATGAATATTAGCTGCTTCAGTCCAACATTTACATTAGTAGGATGATGAAGATGAAACCAGAGTGTACATTTCAGCAAGACAAAGATCCAAAACACAGCAAAGGAAACTCAAATCCTTTCACAGAAAAAAAAAACAAAATAAGCTGTAGAATGACTCAGCCAATCACCTGACTTAAATCCAATAGAGAATACAAATTAGAGATCAGATTTGATAGCCGAGACTCACAGATCCATCAAGATTTTTACACTGTCTGTGAAAACTCAAACCTGAGCAATGCATGTGACTTCATTCTCCTTATGAGAGGCGTCTTGAAGCTGCCGTCACCAAAAAAGCCTTTTATATAAATTCTTAAATGCTTTTTGCTTTATTTTTATGTTTGTATTGTTTGGGTTTTTAACAAAATCTTGTTCAAATTCCATGTCAACAGCTCCTTTAGAAAATATAATTCCCCGGAAAAAACATGACGTGTTCAATACTTATTTTCCCCGCTTTATCTTTTACATTTAGCAAAACTTTATCTTATGCACAGATATTTTAAAATATCCTTTATTGCTATGATATATCTCATTTCTTCACATTATTATCATTACTGCTGAAAACATTTGAGCTTCTTCATGCACAAATAAACATTACACTTTCACCTTTCTGAAAATCATTTTTTATGTGTTCATGTCTTTATGCCTCCATCTGTGTGGTAACTGCCTACAACACATGCATAATTTATATCCTGTTGCATTTATAATCACTTTAAAACAATCATTAGGCTTTGAAATTTATGGAAACATAATGATATACCCCTGCCAAATGTAGCACTATAATAATTCCCCAGCTGCTTTTTAACATATCCACCCCAAAAAATAATGAAATTCATATAGTTTTGTGTCTCATAAATAGCGCTGACAGCAAAACAAGGAGAACTGGGAGAAGAGGGTGACAGAAGACACTTCAATATAGCACAGACAGCACGGACACAGAAACACACTCATCTGAACATATGGTTTTATCCAGGGAAGTCCACAAATTCCAATGATCATCATCATTTAAATGAACTATCAATGAATTAATTAATCGCTAACTTTAATAATGTTACATGTCTTCTTCAGTGGAATAAGGGATTGATCATGTCAAATTGCTGAGACTTTTATTTCAGTGTGTTCCCACTGACACAGAATATTAAGAGGTGGGGCTTTAATTTTACGCTTCATCCCTTCATAGCAGACTAATGGTAAAAGGGGCGTGGCTAGGGATATTGTGGCTCAAGCATCAAACCGACATCAACAAAGAAGGAAAAACACTTCAAACACAGAAACAAATGCTCAGACTTCGATAAAAAACTACTAGAACAAACTTTTTAAAAGTGGTTTACCTTTCACTGATTGATTGTTCATCTAAAGAGTACCAAAATAAACATAATAAACATAATAAATTGATGATGATGCCTTTATTTGTCACATACACTTTTACATGTAGCGAAACTGGACCCCTCCGACCATACACAAGCATCACACATTTCAGGGGAAGACAGGTCAGAATTACTACTTTTTGCTTCACATATGTTTGTTGGTGTTTCTCTATTTTACACAGCACCAGAAAACCTCACTTAATGTTGCGTCTCACCTTTTTTTAATAACTAAACACATAACATCTCGTTTCAACTCATTATAAATAAGTTGTTCAAACAAGCAGCAAACATCTTTTGTCAGATTTTGTGAGAGTGAAGGGTGCCCAAAATGGCAGGTGTAAAAGGCAAATGTTTACTCATAAAAGTCCATGATGTGTTATTTAATAGCCCACTTCATCCAAAACAAAATTAAAAACATATTACATTCATGAGCTACAGAATATTTACCTGTTACATGGCATGCTAATCCATTTCATATAATTAAAGGGTTAGCTCACCAAAAAATGAAGAGGATGTTATTAATTACTCGCCCTCATGTTTTCCAATCCCCCAAGACTTTTATTTGGAAAAATAACAAAATATTTGAACACAAATTAAAATATTTTAGTTAACATCCGGGGGTTCTTTGACCCCATAAAAAAGGAACCAAAAACATTGTCAAAACACTATAATAATATCATAATTTGTGTTCTGAAAATGAATGAATGTCTCAGTAATAAATAACAAATAAATAACTTTTTTTTTTTTTTTTAAATGTGAACTAACCCTTTAATGATAATGGCATCCACAATGGAATTGGTGCATTGCCACAACTAAACTAATGCCTACCAAGCATAATTTAGAAAGACTTTTTATAAACTCATACAGTATATGCTTGCTTAATTTTTACCTCACATTTGCTGTACATCTTTGTATATAAGCTGCGTGAGCCTCAAAACTACACATTTAATGACGCCCTTGCTTCATTAACCAAGGTGTATAAATTTAAACGATTATGAACTATTAATGAATTCAACATTTGACTATAAGCATTTTCAGTCTGGTATCATGTGGTAACAAATATTTTATGTTTTGTCAGTTTAGTGGCTAATTTGTAGGAATTAAGAGTTCAGTCGTATGAAAATTTACGATTTTTTAACGGAGGCCAGACACCAAACCCAACGTCATTGGGGGAAAAACATTTGATGCGCTAAAGAAATTAGCCAAAAATAAAAAAGTTATGTATTGCCATGAGATAACATCGGCATGTTGGCTTTCTTTGCAGTCATAATCTTTTTTTCTTTTTTGCTGGAAACCTGTTGCGCTCATGCAGTGTTTTACAACTCTAACCTCCAAAAAAGCCCAGAAAGCCCTTCAGTTTAGTGATTTGCTGAGTGCAAGGTCAGCTTGTCTCCAGCCGGCCTGCAGGAGGAAGGCAGAAAGTCTCTCCTCAGGCACAACAGTGCTTCTGCTGACTAAGAACACTTGGCGAAACAGATCAACTTGTCATTTTCTACTTTGAGCTGCTTTGGCTTCCCCATGAGAAAACCTCACGACGCTGCTGGGTTTGAGACCCTTCTGAACAATCTTTAGCGAAACATTTGGTGTGTGTTTTTTTTATACCGGGCTTTGTGATTTTCCCTTTTTTCATGTAGCAAAGGAGAACATTTACTGCTGTTTACTAAGAAGAAACACACTCCATGAAAGTTTGAAAACACTTGTAGCTAATAAATTGCAAACTCTTGTGCCAATGCAAGCTTGCTTTCAGTTTATACAAAACAATGTATCCCCATAGTCACAGAGAATGCTATTCTGAGCATGTATAAATGCTGTCGTAACGCGGAAAAAATGTTGAACAAGTCAGTAGACTGTTAAATATGACTTGACTTTCTAAAACACTGTGACATATATATATATAAATATATATATATATATATATATATATTATTTTGTGTAAGTACCACCTCAGAAAATAATTGTCTCTTCAAGTTCCGTCATATTAACCGGTATTGAAATACAGAAGCGTAGTAAGCATAATTAAGCAGCTACAACACTGCATAGTTCAAAAACCAGACAGATTAATTACTATTATTAAGTATATGCATCATTGTAAGCCAACACAATTTTATATACCATTGATTGAATTTCTATCTTTAAAATCTAAACATTTACTTGTATTTTAATATGATTTGGAATGACATATTTAAATTAGAAATAAGATCTGCTGCTCAGGATTTACAGTAGGCCTATGTGTGTTAGAAAAGCGAGTGAATTAATGTATTTATACAGTGCTTGAACAACTTTTTTTTTTTTTTTATTTGGCGTGAATGAGTTCACAGTTTAAGTGAACCATGAAGTCCGCGTCAATCGAGCACTGACCACTGTTTTCAAGCAGACTCCAGTACAGTTCACCATCTCTCCGTCTGTGCACACGGAGACTAACTTTAATCTACCAATAAAATTCAAGTATGGCAAAGTTTTCAGTGTCTCGCACCATTTGAGTCACATCCACAATAATTTGCTTAAATCTGAGGTAATAAACTAAACTGAAAGCCACGTCGCTTTACAAAACAAATAACTTTATATATCGAAAACACTAATTATTTTACACAACTACGAGTACAAGTTTGAACACATTTGTTGGAATTATTTTACCAATGATGCAGCATGATGAAATTCCTGA